TGGGGAGGTGACCAGGGTAGTCTTCCTAAAAGAAGCAAAGTTTGAACTAACTGCCTCTAGGAGATTTCAGGACACTGGAATACAGTGGTACTTGTGTAATTGCACCGATTTAAAAATATATATATATAGTTTCCTAACCTCAATTCAAGACACAGACATGTGTTCCCAGCTACACCAATACCTACCAGAGAGGAAAATACAGGCGTGCACCAAACCATACATCCCTTACATGTAGCACATGGTGTTTAGAACCTTTCAGCCCATGCAAAAGTGCCACTGCTCCCACCGAGATGTGCAGAAAGTGTTCATTAGTATTTAAACCATGTCACTGCTAAAGTGCAGAAAAGTCAAATTTATAACGCGTCAGACATTTTTAGTGGAAAATGCAAATACATAGCAGGGAAGGTTGGCCACATGTCCCTTGAAACGATTACCTCACATAGTTTAACCCGGGTCTCTCAAGCAACGTCCAAGATCATTTTATCAAAGTCAGAATGGAAGCTTTATGGGGCACGAATAGTCCACTCAGGACACAGGAAATACAAATAGCCAATGGAATATATATATTTGAAAATATATATTAACTTTATTCCTATAAAGTTAAAGGAATGCAAATAAAAATGACATGATAGCATTTTTGCTCGAATCTGCAAAATTAAAAAGAATAAAACAGTTTAGTATTGGATCGGATGGGGTCTCTCTTACAGCGCTGGTAGGTTTGCGTAACCCTCACAGGAGGCTGCATCTATCAAAAGCCCTGTGTCTTAGTCCTTTTGCATTGCTATAAAAGAATATCTGAAGGTTGGTAATTTAAAAAGAAAAGAGGTTCAATTGGCTCATGGTTCTGTAGACTGTACAAGAAACATGACCCAGCACCTGCTTTGGGTGAGGGCCTCAAGAAACTTCCACTCATGGCAGAAGGGGAGCAGGTATCACATGGAGGGGAGAAAGGAAGAGAGAGAGGGGGGAGAGGGAGGTGTTGGGCTTTTTTTGACAAGTCAGTTCTTGTGGGCACTAATGGAGTGAGAACTCATAATCACAAGGACAAGCACCAACCCATTCTTGGGGATCCACCCCCAAGACCCAAACACCTCCCACGGGGCCCCATTTCCAACACTGGGGATCAGATTTCAACATGAGATTCAGAGTGATCAGACAAACCATATCCAAACCACAGCACTATAACCATGTGAATTTCCTCTAATCTGCAACTCTGCTCTTCCAAGACTGTATCTTAATGAAATACCCAGTGAAATGCACAAAGATGCCCGTATAAGGATTTTCATCATCCTAATCTTCAAAATACTGAAAAATTTGAAGCTACCTAAATGTCTAGCAAAAGCAAAATTTTAAATAAAATATGGTACTCATTCACTAAAATACCATGTCACCATTTGTAGTAATAATGTAAGATTTCATGACACACGAAAGCAGATTCCACACAGTATATGACGCTCTTTGTAACAACAAAAATAGTTCATGTGTTTGGTTGTTAAACCAGAATATAAAGTACAGGACAGCAGCAGATCTTCTGGCTATTAAATGCTATCTGGAAAAGCACCTGGCATAAAATAGGCCCTCAATAAATATTTACTAATTATATGAATTATATGGTAAAAGCTAACTTTAACATAACTATTTGAATACTAGTTAATCATTAGGAAATACAGTATGTGCTAATAAGAACATAGACTATGTTTTCTGAAAAAAAATTAAGAAAAATAGCTAATAAAGTATACTTTTCCTCAAAAAAAATTTCACTTTTGTTGAAAAAAAAAGTGGCCTCCCTGGACATTAGGATCCGCTGGTGCCTTTGATTGAGAAATTCAGAAGAGAGCTGAATTTCTCTAGAAAGGAAAAGAGGGGACATTTAGTGATTGCTTAGGGAAGGGTTCAGAGAGAGAAATGCAGAGGCCCAGTTCTTAAAGAGGAACTTGGAGGACAGAAAGTGACTATCCCTGGTCTTTATTGATTGTGGGGTGTTGTATCATGCAGCTTTTTCCTTTGTCTCCCTATAAAATCACAGTTAATTTTACAACCATCACTAATATTTTGTGGGCTGAATCTGTTTTGAAGGGATGTGGCAATGCCCAAAATATGCATGCTTACTATGCAGTGGGCACTGCTGCAAACACTTGCTATTATATTTCATTTGCACAACAACACTGTGTGCTAAGTCCTACTGTGAACTCCACCGAGCCGTGAGGAAGCTGCAACTCAGAGAGGTTAAGCAACATGACCCAGGTCACCCAGCCAGTAAGTGGTGAAGCCAGGATCCAATCTCCAGGCAGCCTGAATCCAGAGTCTTCACTCAAACGCTTTTCTATACACATGTATGGAGAAGAGTCTGGAAGGATATGCACCAATACACCTTCAGTAGCAACGCCGGCCGCACTAGGTGGTGAGATTTACTCTAAGTTTTGTTTTGCCTTTCTTGCTAGTCAGAGGTTTCTAATTTCTCTGCAATGCAGATGTAAAAATCACTTTACTTTAAATGCATAAAGATACTACTTTGAAATAACATGCAGTTTTCTTTAGTGGATACTTTCTCTGGCCAAAGTAAAGCAGAGGAAAAAGTTTCTCCAGGAAGATTACATTTGCATGTTCTAAAATAAGGCAGAAAATTTCCAGAACCTACCAGCCCCCTGATATCCCATGTGTTCTGTACCATGGCCTTCAATCCAAGAGGATTCCATGGGATTGCGGCTCACCTGGACAGACACACAGCGACCCAAAGGGGAGAGCCCCTTGCAGGCCATCTCCAGGTGGGCACAGTCATTCAGGTGCCATTGCTAACGGCTGTGTCCTGAGTTCCTACTCTGCTGGCCACTGGGTGGGCATGAGGGCCACAAATTTGACTAAGACACAGTCCCTGCCTTTAAGAAACTCCGAGACTATTGGGGAGACAGACAGACTGAAAACATACAAAGTGTAAAAGAGCCAACAGAAGGAAGTTCAGGATGCCGCAGGAGCAGGAGGGAGGGCCTCTAATTCCTGCAACATCCTGTACCTGCCTCTGTCACAGAACTCATTTCATTCTCTGTTTACAGCGTTTGCTTTCTCACCCATCTGCCCAACGATCTATTAACTCCTTGAGGACTGGTGCTGCATCTCATTCACGTTTGTACCCCAGCACCCGGCCCTGAGTAGGCTGTCCGATCAGTAGCTTTGCTCGAATAGCTGTCTCTGTGTGGAGGTGGCTCTGTAGGCAAATTCTATGGCTCGGCCCATCGAGGATCAGGGCCAGGTAGAAGAGAGTCCCCCAGAAAGCTCCTTAGCTCAGGCAAAATAAACCAGGTGAACAGACAAGAAGAAGAGGAAAGGAATTACCAGGCTGACTGAATGAATGCAAAAGCAAGACCAAGTTGAGAAATAGCTGGTTTTATTCTGATCCAAACAGATGTGACTGGAGCAAAGAGGACACTGGGGATGGTGACCAGAGCTGAGCCATGAAGATCCTTTCATTCACACTAAGAATCCAGATTTTATCTTGCAAGCTATTAGTATGAGGATTCCAAGAGAAGAACGGATGTGGTCAGAGATTTGGTTTTAGGAAAATCACTCTGGAAGTACCATGGAAAGCAGAAGAAAGGGGGCAAGGCAGAGGCAAAGAGGCCGGTTAAATTAGGAGGCCACTGCACGGAGTCGACCAGGAAATAATGAGGACCTGGAGGAAGGCAGGTGTTGCAAGGGTGGAAAGAAAAAAAAGACGCCCACCATTATTTTCCTCCAGAACAGCTTGGAATGATTCTCAGGCATGCAGAACACTGAAAACCTGACACAGAGTGTGAAAAAGGCAAAGACGATCTGAAGTACCCGGCAGTCCTGCTGGCTCAGCAGCGCCAATCCCCCAGGGCTTCGCAGCCCGCTAGCACCTCCAGCACGCCCCTCCCGCAGGCAGTAGCGAAGACATCCAGGCAGCCAGAGAAACACTCCGAAGCAGAGGGGGAAAACGTGCATTACAGAGCCCAGCATCTGTGTCTAGCAGCTGCCAAGCAACCTCCATGTGTTCCTGCAGCTGTCGGCGTGGTAGCAATGGAAGACGGAACAGAAGGGCAAAAAGAACGTTCAGCAACAGGCTCTGAGCACCAGGCAGGTAGGTGAGCTCTGGGACAATCGAGGCTGATCCACTGAGTGCTGCTGGGAGCGGCTGCTTTCCTTGGAGAAGCATTGCCACACAGAGCCCTTAGGTAGCCAGGCAAGGTTCCCAGGGTTGCACATAGCAGGACACTATCCCCCTCTGAACCAGGTGGCCCAGGAAAGCTGAGGCTGGACTTGCCCTTCCAGCCTCCTTGGTTTGATTGCAAGGCCCAGGGTCCACCTCTCTGAAGGTGCAGAGTGACATATCACTTTGTGTTCGATCTAAATACAATGAGAGAATTGGTTGATAAGTTCATCAACCCCTTATCACCAAATAATCAAAGATGAGCCAGGGTCTCATAATTCAACCAAAATAGGGAAATTACTCATTGAGACAGTCACCTTGGGAGGTTGGGGGAATGGACCATGTTGATTATTCACTCATTCATTCATCCATTAACTCAGAGATTTATTAAGTACCTACTGAGTACCTAAGAATATGCCAGGCTTTGTGGTAGCTGAAAGAGACATAGAGACAAGATAATAATGCCTGGAATGTCTGTCATGCTGTACAACTTACAAGGAATTTTTACATCCTTTAAAAAAAAATCAGGCTGGGCGAGGTGGCTCACGCCTGTAATCCTAGCACTCTGGGAGGCCGAGGTGGGTGGATTGCTAGAGGTTCGAAACCAGCCTGAGCGAGACCCCCTCTCTGCCAAAAATAGAAAGAAATTAATTGACCAACTAAAAATATATACACAAAAAATCAGCTGGGCATGGTGGCACATACCTGTAGTCCCAGCTACTCAGGAGGCTGAGGCAGTAGGATCGCTTAAGCCCAGGAGTTTGAGGTTGCTGTGAGCTAGGCTGACACCACGGCACTCACTCTAGCCTGGGCAACAAAGTGAGACTCTGTCTCAAAAAAAAAAAAAAAAAAATCAAAGCTAATAGTCATCATTTGCATGGGACAGGCTTCTCAAGTAGCTATAGCCATTGACTATTCTGATTGGCTGGTGCCCTTGTGAACCAGGTAGGAAACACAGCGTTTTGAAGACCACCCCTGCCCACAGCAACAAGATAAGATCATGTTTACATTCACAAAGTGTCTGGCCTGTGACCACTTCCTTGTGAGTGGCACAGCCAGGATTAGAACACTCAAGGAGCTTACAATACAGTCCGAAGAGGAAGGTATCAAGAGTGATCTGAAATAATTCCAGGGTGACATGAAAACAAGCCCCGATGGTGTGGGCCAGAAAGCAGGCACAGCACGTGGGTAAAATGAAAAATAAGGGAAAGATGGTCCAGTCCTCAAAGCAAGCTTGGTGAAGGATGGCGTTTTATGGTGGGCCTTCAACAGCTGGTATAGGAATTTCCTTTAAGCTGGCCTTAAAGGAAATTTAGGATTTGGACTGGGCTTCAGCTGTGGTTGTTATGAGAAGAGACTGGAGACAGAATCCCTAGGTTCCAAACTCAGCTTCCCATGTATAAAGTGAGGATGATAACAATGGTATCTGCTCAAAGGTTGTTCTGAAGATTAAGAGATAATCTAGGCAATGCACCTTACGTAGAACGTGCTCAGCGAATGGTTGGTGTTAGGATTTCATTTCTCTTTGCACCTAGTGAGTGGTAAATATCCTTCTGCAGAGCCTCTTACTTCCCGCATGTAACATTCAGGATTGCTGGTTGCAAGCAACAGAAATCACCTCTGGCTGGTGAGGATCTGTGAATAGCTCAAAAGACAAGGAATTTATTGAAAGGCAATTCACAGCATCACCAGAAAGGCTGAAAAAACCAGATAATAAAATGGGCAGGAAGCAAGGGGGGACTGGGCAACCAGGACCCCAGATCAAGCGACACTGAGGAACGCCCCTGTCCAGAGTACTGCCACGGGTGCCGGACAGCAATGCCACATGGGTGGTGGGTACCACTGTCCCACCACCTCGGGCACCGCTTTGCACACTCCAAACACCGCCTCTATCATCTTGGGTTTCTGTTACATGCGGCCAAACTCATTTCCCAACAAACATCGGTCATCAGACTTGAAATCCAGCCACTGCTCTCAGCGTCAACGCACACTCCTGCCCCCTGGAAAGCTAACAAATTATCTCTGTGTGGTGGGACTTCGGCAATTCTCAAGTGGACCTTTCTCCCTTGCCTCAACCGTCCTCTACCCACATCCTAAAGATCCCTGAAGGCATCAATCCCTGTTAAAACATAAATAAACCCCAGAGGGGTGACACTATGTTATGATCAGGTTTTGACACTGTGAAAAAACAGACTTAAGAACATTCTGGTAGGAAGGCAAAAAAAAAAAAAAAAAAAAGGATTTAGAATGAACATATGGTACCACCAAATACCATTTGCCTAAAACTGGCCTGAGGGAGGCTAGAGTGAGACCAAATACTGCCATCGTGGTCCCCTCCCTGTTTTGACTACCCGAGTTTTCATGTGCTGATCGTGTTTGAGGTTGGCCTGACCACCTTGGATCCCAGGCAGAACCCCCACTCTGCAGAGAAGAGACACCTGTGTCGTCAGGTGAGTCCCCTGACACTCCTGTGTCCCATCTGTGGGAAAGGACCCAGAGGGGGGCGGCTTTCCTTGGGAGGAGGAAGGTCGTCCTGTTCTCCTCTCTGTCCCAGATCTGTGACTCTACTGGTTGCAACTGAGTCTTTCCCCCTTGGTCCTTGACTGAGCAGACGATCTGGTTTCTCTAGCTGCCACTTTTCTTTTCATTTTAGGATCTGGTCACTTTCATCGTCTGCGCTTGGCTCAGCATCCCCTTAACTTAGTGAAGGAATCTGTAAGTCCTATCCGCGGCTTTGGGGCAATGTTTTAAAAGCCCTTTGGAGACCGAAAGCAAGATACAATCACCCTATGCCAAAAAAGCTAATGAGGAAGGCCACCTCTGATGGTTTTTATGTTGCTGTTAAGTCACAAGCTCCCACTCTGCTATCCACACAATGAGGTGCGACTCAAACAAAAGCAAACCGTCAACAGGTCTGTTTAAATACAGTGTTTGTTTTTTTAATTCCCTTTTAAATAAAGAGCAAACAAAGACAGAAAAGAAACAAGACGGTGCTTTTGTTGTTTAACAGTTTGGGGTTTTGTCTTGTTTTTTTTTCTATCTTTTTCCCGCAGCAGGATGGCAAGGTCACGAGGGAAGTGTTTTCATTCATATCTGTGATGCATAGGTATTTGGAGATGATAAAAGATGTACTTTTTTGTTCTCCCTTTTCATTTGGATTCTTCCTGTCAAGGTGCCCAGAATAAGGCTCTGGAGCAGATGGGGAAGGCACAGGAAGCCACACTGGGAAACCGCGGTTCCAGGAACGGTGTTCGTACCGTCCTGTTCCCCAACAATCGGAACCGCCCAGGGGAGGCTGCCGCACCCCACTGTCCCCCGTGCTCGGCACACGCGGCCATCGGGACCTTGAACCCATGGGGACCTTGAACACTTGACCTTTGTTAATGTCTGCTAGTTTGGCGCCCACTTCTACAGCCCCCTATTTTTCACCTTAGGGCCAGCCTGAGCTGGGAGCCGAAGGAAGCCGGTGTGGAGACCCGGCGACAGGTGCTTTCTCCACTCTGGTCCCACGGTGCTTTGGGAAGGATCCTGAGAACAGCAATGAGGACAGGAGCCGCCGCTGCAGCCAGCAGGAATGGGCTCACTCGAAGGAGCAAGACGGTATAGACAGCTCCTCAGCAAGGCGGCCGTTCAAGAAGGGCACCTGCCATGTATCTGCAGGATGCAGGGTTATGGCGGGAAACTCGGGAGACTCCCCTGATTCTGTGTGGTGCCAGAGATTGGTGTCTTCTTGTGGATCTTGTGATCGGTGTCCCTCAGTGACCCCTCCAGACTAAAGGGATCTGGGGGACCCCTGGCCAGCACTGTAGCAAGCAGCAGTGTCACTTTCCACACCCTGCCACCACCGTGCCATCATCTTGGTGACACCGCACACCAGCAGGGGAGTTTGATTAAAGCCTCAGTCTCGCTGGAGTCCGTGGAGGGGGCCAATGAATGGTACCCCTCTTTGCCTGTGATCGGAACAAATCGAGCAGTGAAGCAGAGGAGTGGCAGATGGAAGCTAAGATAAAATCTTTGTAACTAATAAAGACCAACCAGAAGGGTACTGTTCACAGTAATGGCCCCAGAGTTAGGCAGAACTGCTCTTCCAGGCACTGGCCATGCTCAGCTGGGGCAGGGGCCCTGCTCGGTGTAGACGGCGGAAAAGAACACCTGCTTCTTGCAGGCAGCTGCTTCTCCAGAGGAAAACAGGAAGGGTGAGGCAATACGTCCAGTGTATTTTTCCTAACTGTATCCATCAGTTAAGTCACTCCACCCAGCCCCCTGGAGGAAGTGAGGGTCCAGAATGCCACCCCTCCTACCTGGGAAGAAATATCAGGAGTGGAGAACAAGCTCCGCAATATTGTTGCAGAGGTGAGGAAACTGACACAGAGAAAAAGTAAGAGATTTTCTCGTGATACCCAATGCACGAAAGGTGATGGCAAGTCTCTGGACCACCGAGCCCAGCGGTGCTGTGTCATCTAAGCACATCCGCTCCCAGGGGCAGGAGGGCTTCAACTCAAGACCACATTTGTGGTTCAATGTCAGTTGAACAGTTTAAGTCACTAAAAACCTGTGTATCTGCACATTTTCCCTCTTGTGCAATTCTCTCTCTTACTGCACCTTCACCCTGTAACACACATTGTCTTTGCCCTCCTTCCTATTTTTATTCTCAACTACAATGTTTGTTTTTTTATTTTATATTTATATAGTAAACTATATATTCTTATAAGAAGTCATACATCCCACTAAAAGATGGACAAATAAAATGCATCCTCTGTTTTTTCGTTCACTCTTTAAAAAACCGATTTTGAAATTTTATAAAAACATTCCCTAAACACCTATTACCTGGGCTTTAAATTTTAGAATCAAAAGATAAAATTTAATTTCCAAAGATTTAACAAGTTTTCATCCGCCCTCCCAAATGAAATGTACACATTTATTATAGAATAGATTTTCTTTTTAAGCTAAGGTTGTTGATTCATAAATTGTTACATTCTATTTTTCAACAGTGATGATTTAAACTTATTTTCATGTCTTGCTGAGCTAATTCACAGTGTTAAGCATTCACAGAATGAAGCATTTGACCCACGTTAATTCTGTTTTATTTCTATAAATATATTCTAGATACAAAATCATTAAATGCTTTACTTCGCAACTTTATATGCCACGTAAAAAAATATTGGCAGTTAGTAAATTTTGACGAAAGATCCTCACTAAACACATCTTCCAAAGGCTCTGTCTGTTGGCATCTGCAGCTAAGTTTAATCTCCTTTATATCCTACTGCCTCTTGAGAGTGCAAGGGATTTTTTATTTATTTATTTTTTTTTGGTTCTTGTTTTGGTTAGTGTTTTCTCCCAGAAATATCAACTGTTGCTGTCATTCTTACCAAAAGAGGTTGTCTCATTGTTGATTCACACGAGCCAAGCTTATTTCTTGCAAAATATTTTTTTAATAATCCAAAGTCCAACCACAAGACCAGTTGTCATTAGTTGGGCCTTGAATATAGGAAGTAAAAGGGACGGAAAATGAGGCCATTCATTTTATTTTCTATGTTTTCTTTAATTGTTCTACTTTTTGATTTACAGAGCATGAACTGTAAAGAAACTAGGGAGGAGGTTTTTTTAAGTTCTGTTTTGTTTTTTTTTCAGTGTCAAATAATGTAACATTCATTGAAAAAAAAAGAAATTAAACATTTCGTTCTTATTATTCATACAGATTAAGTCAAACACTTGATTACATTAATTCATTTCTTCATTCATTCATTCAACAAATATTTACTTGGTACCCACTCTGTGCCCAGCACCATCCTCCGAGGATTCTGGGGTGATCAAAGCTATACCATGGAGGAAGGCAGAAGAAATAGAAGACAAAAGCCCTTGGGGAGCCAACAGGCTGATTGAGGAAACACTGCACACAGCAGGTGCTACATAGATGTAGGTTGTGTTGAACTGTACCTACCAAAACAACTTCAGGTCTCTAATTCAACAACATCTCAACATGTTCACATGATGCCAGATCAACCGGACAGCTGTGTGCGCTTCTCGCAAACCAAGCCACTAGACCCTGCTAACGTGCATGCACCCATTTTACGGCAATAAGTTTACACCACGTAGTCACCTCTTGTTTTTCTCCCCTAAAATTGGGAAGTACTTTAAGAATGTAGGTTCTGGAGCTGGACTATACAGGTTTGTTGTTGTTTTTTTTAATTAAGATATAACTTACATACAATAAAATGCAGAGACCTTAAGATCTTGAATGTTCACTTCAATGAGTTTTAGCAATTGTATATACCCATTAAACATTTAGCAAGATACAGACCATTTCCATCACCCCAGGAAGTTTCCTTGTGCCCCTTGCCAAGCAATTGCTTTCTGAAATCTATTATTATAGATTATTTTTGCCTGGTCTAGAAATTCATGTAAATGGAACTATGCAGCCCATACTCTTTTGTGTCTGGCTTTTTTCACTCAACTAGTGTTTTGAGATGTTGCATTTATCAGTGGTTTGTTCCTTTGTATTACTGAATAGTGCTGCATTATATGGATAGACCATTGTTTTGTTTATTCATTCTCTCGTCAGTGGAAATTTGGGTTGTTTTCAGTTTGGGGTTATTATGACTAAGATAGCTATAATCATTTTTGTACAAGTGATATTATGCACATAGGTTTTCATTTGGGGGTAAATGCCTAGAATTTGCTATTGCCAGGTCAAAGAGTAGATGACCTTTTAAGAAACTAACAAATAGTTCTCCAAAGTGATCAGTGGTGTTTAAACTACTCCCAACAATATGTCAAAGTTTTGGTTGTTTCACATGCTCCCATTTTGTATAGGTGGTCTTTTCTTTCTTTTTTTAAGCCATTGTTCTGTATGTGAAATGATAGCTCACTGTAGTTTTGATTTGCATTTCCCTGATGACTAACAACTTTCCACCTGCTTGTATTTGTACATGTTCTTTTGTGAGGTATCTTCTCAAGATTTTTACCCATTTTTGTGTGTCTTTTTATTGTTGATTTGTAGGAGTTCTTTATATATGATGCATAGGAGTCCTTTGTCACATTTACTCTATTGCAAATATTTTTTTTTCTCAGTCTGTGGCTTGACTATTCATTTTCTTAATAAGGGAATAATCTTTACCTAGTTCCTTCTCCCAGTTAAGTTTCTCTGGGGAAGGATTTAAAAATACAGTCCCTTTAATACCACTAATCATCAATTGTCTTTTTTTCATCACACGAAGAAAGGCATTTCTCTACTTATTCCTCTACTCACTCTCTGCTCCTTTGCTTTGTGGTCTTTGCTGAACTCGGAATGCTTTTAAAGTTGTCTGTATCTCCGTAGACTGAACTAATTGATTCATTCTCGAAACACACATAGCACTTTACCTGTCCCTTTGTTATTTCTTTCTGTGTTAATAGTTTACACATCTTCAACCTATAACTCTTCTTGAGCTCGAGAATAACCACCTACCTAACCACACATACTTACCACGTCCAACTGGGCATCCGCTTCAAACTGCACAGCTTCTAAATGGAATTCTTCATTTTACCCTTCACAGAGATATTCCCTCCTTGGGCTTCCCATCATGACAAGTGGCACCACCATATACCAGAACCAGGTGCTACAAAGATTTCGTAACCCAGAAACCTGGGTGTTAGTTGACTCTCACATCCAATCCCTCATCCAGGGCCATTGATCTTGCCACCCTCCCTCCTCCCAACCAAGGATCTGGGATGCACCCACTTGTCTCCATCCTACTGCCACTCCTTAGCCCAATCACTGCCACGCCCCGTCCAGAGTCCTGTTTTGGCTTTGTCACCTTCCCCCCCGCCACTACACTCCAGTTGTGCAGTCCTTCAGAGAGTGTCTAGAATGTGCCAAGATTTCTCTTCTTAGACCTTTGCATTTGAAATTCCCTTTGCCTATAACACTCTTCCCTCACTCTCCATATATCTGGCTTAAGGCCACCTCTCAAGAGAGGACTCTCCTAACTAAAATAGCACCACTCCTCCCGCCCCTACTACCCCGACGCTCAATATCACAACAACCTCTTTGTTCCCTTCTTGGGACTTATCCCAAACTGTGGTCGCATTTTCCTTGTCGCTCTCTCCCCGTGAGCTGTGGAGAGCAGGCTCCCTGTCTTCTTGTTCGCCAGTATAGCTCCAGGGTCCAGCAAAGTGCCTGGCGCATAGTAGGCACTTCCCGAGTGTTTGCTGAAGGAAGGAATGTTTGCCTCTCCAATGCAAATCTGGGATCATGTCTTTTTCATTTTCTATTCACCCCAACACATTTCTTTGCAAATAGGAGATTTTATAAATGCCTTCTTATGTGAATTGCACTGACTTCCTTCAACAGCTCTTGCAAGCCACCTTGACTTCCTCAGATCAGCTTTTCTGGCCTCACTTCATGTCTCCTCCCATCTTCTTCCCCCATGGCCCACCTATGCCCCAGGCCCAGCCCCAAATGGGTAGTTTTTCTTGCAGATTTATACACTGCATGCATAGAGCTGTATCTGCAAGATACCAAATAACGGGCAAGATAATTTTAGGTGCATTCAGTCATTTGAGGGAAGAAAAACCAGCTGCTTAACAGAGCTGACTAATCAGCTCCATCAGACAATAGATCAGGTAGACATTGTGTCCAGACACAAACACTTGCTGCTTCCTGTCCCTTCCTCTGCCTGGTATCACTCTCCCCTCTCGCGAGGGTGTTTGAGTTTGATCCTCTCAGCCAAGCGGCAGATGGAGAAATTGTTTGCAATAGAGATGAGAATATTTTATCAGACTTCCTACAAACGGGGTCCACTGAATTTTAATCTGCCAGCAAAGCACTGACAAAAAAAAAAAAAAAGGAGGAAAAGTCTCAACAGGACATCCTGCAAGGTCTCCTCAGGAATTAGTGTGTTTTTGGTCAACATTCAGTCAATAGATGATAAACTTCCAAGGGCAACTGAGAGAGTGCTGAAACACACACTGCCCTGGTCCCTCCAGCTTCCCGGAGAAGGCCGGGTGGCAGAAGGGGACCTGGGTCAGGGCCAGGAAGTCTGTATTCCAGACCTGCTCCTGGCCCTGACTCCTTAGGTCACCGCCTGTTGGTGATGTCACGTTTCAGTCTCTCGGTGACTCCATCTGCACGAAGGAAAGAATATTAATACATTCTATCCCTTCCAATTGGGTTGCGAAGATGCTTGGGAAATTAACATGCCATCCAGATAGAGAAATTAATATGCCATCCAATGGGAAATCAATATGCCATCCAAACAACCGAAAGTTGTTTGTAACGTGGATTATCTTTTGTTCTTTTCCCACGCACACAACTCCACAACAGGCTCCACGTTATACTAATAGCCACTGACGTTTACTGAGCAGTTACTACATGCCGGATACGTGCAAAGCAAATGTATGCACACACAGTGCACTTTGTTGCACACTGCATCAATTATATCCTTTGACTCCTATTGAATCCCAGGCAGGAAAACGCTAAAAGGGGCGCCCAGAAATGTGGAAAACAGTATATCTTATTAATAGATAAACAAAAAGCTTCCACTTTAAGTATTGCCCAGGGCCTGATTTAGCAGATGCCTCTGCAAAGCAGGGCTCCTGGCAGCCTGCTATGCCTAGGACATGTCTTCACCGGCAGCCGCCCCAAGAATGCATTGTACTACCTCTGGGTACTCCCCCCTCTCCTCCTTCATACCCAAATGCAATATATGTACAATTAATAAAAAGTCCAAGTGTACTGAGGGCTGATTATGTGCCAGTGACTGTGCCAAGTGTTTCACACATATGATCTGAGTAACTAATCACATCAACCTTTGGAATAGGTACTATTTTTAGCCCCAAGATAGTAAACCTGCGACATAGACAAGAACTTGACCAAGATCAGAAGTAGGTAGTAGCACTAGAATTTGAGTCCAATCTTTCTGAAATCCAGAGCCCACTTTTCCAGCCTCTACACCGCTTCTTGATGCGTTCTTCCCATTTTCATATTTCTAGGTTGAGTTTTCTGACTGATGCATACATCTAATAGAGTGGCCGGGTGTTTTTTAATACTCAAAAACCAGACAGCTGTCAGCAAAACAATGGTTCCTAAGAAGAGAAGAGATAGCCGTGGGAATAGGTGCGTAACAAAGTAGAAGGGCCACATTAACCAGGAGGCAGGAAATTGGGTCCTCATTTGGGCTGTGCCAGCACTGGCCACATGACCTAAGACAAGCCAGTTGGCCTTTCTGAGCCTCCATCTCCTGACTTTAAAAAAAAAACTAAGGAGATGGAGCTAAATGACATTGACATCTCATGCACATTCTAAGTCCCTCTATGGAATCTAATACAAGTGGGGTTGCACAGAGCCATTCTCCGACCAGTGGCTTGGTTTGTGCCCAGGTAGTTCAGGCATTTAACCCTCGGTCGCTGCAGGAGAGACTAAAGGAGACTCGTGCAAGCAAGCTCTCTGCCCCGATAGTGTCGCTCAGTTTCCCTCAATCCCAGGCCCTGTCTTGAGCTCTCTGGAAACGCAGGCGGGATCCGAGGCGGCTGTTCCAGCATCGCTTCTGTTTACCCCACCATCCGGATGGTGTCATTTAGCCGGAGCCATCATTCGCAGTCACACCAAATGGCTCATGGAAGAAAAGTTGGTTACACTCAAAGAACAGATGACAAGTGACAGGCTCCGCTCCTGATTTTCCACAATAACAGAAGACACCAGCAACTGCCGCGGTGGTCCAACACCCGAGCAAACCACTCCCTTCCAAAAGCAGGCAAGGTCTGCTGCTAGCTGCTCCCGCACGGGGATTAAAGAGCAGACCTTTGTCCCTGGTAACCCGGGGCAGCCCTGTCTTTCCACGTGTATTATCTGCAGAGCCACACACAGGCAGCCCCTCTAATCTGAGTTCTGCTGCCACGTAATTTTTACTTTGCAAATAAAAATAAATCCCTTCTATTATTAAGAGACGAGATTTTTAACTGTTCTCAACACCCCCCAAAAAATGATAAGTATAGGAGGTAATGCATATATTAATTGGCTTGATCTAGCCATTCCACAGCGTATGCGTATATGAAAGCATCATGTCACACACCATAAATATAGACAATTTTTATGTATTAATTACCAATTTAAAGTATATTAAAAATTAAAGAAATCACTTAACTTCCCTGTGCACCCAGTGCTGCTGAGGTAAGGAGACCGACACTGGGCGGTGATGAGAAAGAGCTAACGACCAAGAATCTGGTGGGGAAAGGACTGCAGCAGTTCTCAGCCAAGAGTAGTAACTGGGGACAGATGAACTCACCTTGCCAATCCTGAGGCAGGTCCACTTCTGCACCCCTTTATTTTGCCTATGGAAAGGCAAAATGAGATGTCCCTAGAAAATCTGCCAGCTGCTATAGGATCAGTAAAAGTTCCAGTAATTATTTTTACTTACTTTTTTTTTTTTTGAGACTGTTGCCTGGGCTAGAATGCAATGCTGTCGTCATAGCTCACAGCAACCTCAAAGTGCTGGGCTTAGGCGATCCTCCTGCCTCAGCCTCTCAAGTAGCTGGGACTACACACGCACAACACCACGCCCGGCTAATAAGTTCCAGTCATTAAAACCAGGAATTATGGGAATTCTTCCAACTTGCTCTGGGGTGGCCATTCAGGTCTAATTGAAAAGTCCTAGACAAGGTCTAGCATGTACTCATTTAACAATCTCTTATTTGGCATTTATGAAGTTGAACCATGTAAAATGGCTGATATCTGCACATCTTTGACCTACCCAAGTGGAAATAGCACATGGCTCGACCTGATACTATATGCAAGCTACTGTCCTTGGTTTTGTAGATATAAAGAGAGATAAGACACAGCCAATCCTCAAGGGACTGCTGGGAGACAATCCCATAGGGAATTAGGGGCAAGTTTGGGGTATATTTAGAGCTATGAGAAAGAGAAAGAGGAAAGAGGGGATATCGAGGCAGTGTCCTGAAGTAGGAACTTGCTTCTTTCATCTGTGGGAGTCTAGATCTGACCGAACACAGCATGGAGCCCCTCTTCTTGCTGTCTCAGCATCTGTGGAATGACCAGCAAACCCAGAATCTCAAAGCCAGTTTCAGAGCAGGGTGAGTTCTTTACCTGCCAACCTTGACTGAGTCTCTTTAGCATTTGTTATTTTTATGGGTCCCTGGATGCTTGGCTTGAATATTAATTTTCCTCAATTCTTTAAGTATATATTAGTTATTACATATTTTTGATTAATATTTGATGGCCGCTTAGGCTGCCAAGAGCGCCCATAAATTTCCCAAGTGGATATCTGGCGCTAGGTAAGTGTGGGAGACCCTTGTGTGGAGCAAAGACATCAATCATTTTAAGCCTCTGACTCCACACCTTAATACCCAAAGATATATTGCTAAGAAGCCCATAACAAGTCATTAAAAATGAATGTCTTGTGGCAGTTTTCATGCCTGCAGGATTCGGTGGGGGAGGGGAGGGAACCTGAAACGTTGCAGAGCGCAGAGCGCTCACTGACACCTGTTTGGACATTTTTTAAGAAATTCCTTATTCCTCACTCCAGAATCAGCCACACAATTTGTGGGGCCCAGTGCAAAATGGAATTGCAAGGCTCCTTGTTCAAAAATTGTTAAGTATTTGGAGACAGCAACAGCGGAGCATTAAACCAAGCAGGGGGCCCTGTGTGATGTCACAGGTTGCACACCTGCAAAGCTGCCCCTGCCCCTCTCTGCCCTCCCTGGCGCCCTCTTTCTGGAACTTAGTCTCTAGCTACAAGCGCTTTCAATAAAAACAATAGCAACAATAATAATAGCACTTAATGAGATACTAAAAGAGGGACACTCTATTTTCATTCACTCATGGGAGCAAGAGAGAGTTCTTTGCATTAACCCTGTAAGTACTATGGTTACCCCACTCTACAGAGGGGGACATTGAAACACGTGATAGTTTCTTTTATGTGTCAACTTGACTTGGCCACAGGGAGCCCAGACATTTGGTCAGATGTCATTCTGGATGTGTCTGTGAGGGTGTTTCTGGATGGAATTAACAATTTCAAGTGATAGGTAAAGCCGATTGCCCTCCCTAATGTGGGTGGGCCTCATCCAATAGGACAAAAAAGGGTGACCCGCCTGTGGGTCAGAGGGAACTCCTCTTGTCTTGTCTTTGAGCTGGGACATCAGCTTTTTCCTGCCTTTAGACTTGAACGAAAGGATCAGCTCTACCTGTGTCTCTAGCCTGCTGGCTTTTGAACTTGAACTTACAACACTGGCTCTCTCCCAGGTCTCCAACTTGCCAGCTGCAGGTCTTGAGAATCATCAGCCTCCATAATCACATGAGCCAATTCCTTACAATAATCCTCTTTATTTATGTATATATATGAATGTTTACTTATATGTGTATATATGTGTGTATACACACACAAACACACATATATACACACTATTGCTTCTGTTTCTCTAGGAAATTCTAATACAAAGCTCATGTAAGTTAAGTAACTTGCCCAGTGCCTCTGAGCTGGTAAGTGACAGAGTTGTGACATGAATATCACAATAGATGTATGTCTGGAAATAACTGAGGTGGTATTGAATACATGCATGAACCAAGCCCGGTTAGGAAGAAAAACTAAATCCATACAGCAGGGCAGAAGCCCCATAAACAGCCTTCCTTTTGTCGGGGCAGAACAAGCAAAGCAAGTAGATGCAGACAGGACGGCACTGTGAGCTCAGGCTGACCCCTGAGATAAAAATGATGGGGGAGACCTGAACTCAGGGCCCAAGACTACTTCTAACAGAACAGTCATGCTAGGTGGGATAGTGCCTGCCCCCAGGTTCCTGGAAACACAGTCCTTAGTGAAGTCTCTCTCTGTATAAATCTCGAGACTTCCATGGTTTAATCCTATAAGCTTCTGGGAGAAAATTGTCTAAGGTGACAGGTACATCCTCTCTTTTGGTTCCTTGAAAAGACTTTTTAAAAAATTCACTGTAATAATTGTGCTGGAGAGATCATTGCAGATCACACCCTCTAAGTGTACAGAGATATAATATAACAACAGGGTGAAAAAGATTTTTTTGTCTCCAAACACCAGCAATGCCTGGAGGAACTACTGCCTCAAAATAAGTTTATACACACTCAAACCTGCTTTCTGATCTGAGGCTTAAATATGTTTTATTAGCCGTGAGTATTCTGAAAGTGAGTAGAATATGGCCAAAGGCAACTTCAAGAAAACCTCAACTGGAAACCAGAATCACTGCCTTATTCTCACTTTCTTAACCTATTGGAGAAGAAAGGTTGCAAGACTCAGAGTGAAAAGGGCAAGGAGGAAGGTAATTAACACTTTTGGAGGCCCTAATTTGTGCCAATCCTTGTAGATGGCGTTTGATTTATATAGTCTCATTTAATCCTCATGACAACCTTGTTGGGCAGGAAATACTATCCCTGTTGGACAGATACCAATCTAACGCTCAGAGAGATGAGATGGCCTGCTCATTGTCTCATAGTGTCTGAGCAAGAAGCAAAGCTCACAGTCAAACCCAGAACTTTCCACTGCATTACACACCCCATGAAGTGACCTCTGCTAAAATCCCAGGGCCACAAACGGAAAGAGAGCCTGGCATTGATTTGTATACTTTGAACGTGTCCTGAAGCTACTTGTGTACTCTATCAACTATATTAGTATTTGTTCACTGTTTACCAAAACTCTGACCAAGTCCAGAAATTTAAAGTGAATAAACCCACCTCCATAAAGGAAATTTATACTGGATATGGTTCCAGCTTCCCTCCTGTCCTGGAGTCTCAAGTCCTACAGAGATTCCCAGGGCTGCACAGGGAACTTCCCTCCCATTTCCCTGCCCTTTGACACCCCACCTTCTAAGCAGCTGTAAGGAGCATCATCATTCTTGTTACTGAAATCTCCAGCACAGCAAACGTCACCTGCATTGATGAGGTGACCCAAGTTCCACCAATCTTACAGTCAAGAAGCTGTAGTGTAACTTCAGTCCTCCCTGCTGTGATCTGAGGCTCTGCTCCCCACGGTCCTGTCTGCTCACAGAGAAGACCTTAGATCCGTGGAAATGTAGCCCAATCCACAGCCCATCTGGCAATGGCAGCAGCTGAGACTTTCTTCTCTGTGGTGACAAATCCCACACTCCCTCCACAGCCTCGCCCCCTCCCCAAAGTTCTGCATCCAGCAGCTCTAACTTTCTTAGACCATTGGTTTTAAAACAGGAGCAATTTTACCTCCCCCCAGGGGACATTTGGGGGGGGGAACTGTCGAGAGACAGTTTGGGTTGTCACAGCTGCGGGGGTGCTACTGGCATGTAGTGGATAGAGGTCAGGGATGCCATCGCACATCCACCGTGCCCAGGCCAGCCCCTCCACGACAAGCACAGGCCAGCCCCCCCACGACAAGCATAGGCCGGCCCGACTGCTCCGTGTCAGTCACGCCGCAGTTGAGAAACCCTGATTTAGACCCAGGATGGCAAGTCCCTGCCACAAGTGCTCTTCCTCCCCTTTCTCCATGTGTCCTTTGCTGTCACATTTGGTTGATCAGGGCATTCATTCCCTCTGAGCCCAGTTCTGAGCTCAGAAGCCTCTCCACGCGTCGCTCCAGGCAGGCTCTAATGAGTGATGGGTGCTGAAATGCAAGATGAACTCCACTGGCCGTCCTTCCATTAGACACGTTTTGTGTCGGCCATAGTAGTTACCTGTTTACACTGTGAGCCTTTCAAAGCAAAGAGCATGTCTTCTGTAGTCTTCATCATCTCCGGGAGCTCCGAGATGAAGAAAGGAAATGATGGAGAGAAGGAGGGAGAGAAAGAGAGGGAGGGAGGAAGAACCAAAGAGGGAGGAAGGAAAGCAAAAAAAAAAAAAAAAAATTAAACAGAAAAGAAAGAAAAGTGTAGAAGACAAAAAAAAAAAGAATGGAAAATAAAAGAAACAGAGTTCAAAATGAGGCACCACTGAGACTGACGCCTACAAAACAACGGGAAGCAGCTTGTTTTGTTATGTTGTCCCCTGGGGCTTTTCAAAGCGAGAGAAGCCAATATGGTGAATTTCCCTAGAGTCAAGAGGTGGACTCCCTACCATGAAAACCTCTTTCCTTTGTTCTCCTAGACATTGCAAGGGACCCAGGCGCATTTTAAGAATTCCCCAGTTGCTCCCAGTCCCTCTCCCACCCCCAAGTAGCCCGCTTTCCTGCCACGTGGCGAGGCTGAGCTGTCATTTGGTTGTCATGCTTCCCAAAGGCCACACAGAGCACCCCAAGGAAGCTGGATTCGAATTCTTCTCAAATGTTCATCAGCCTTCACCTTGGTGGGGACTGCAGACGAAGGCAAGGCATCCTGGTCAACGCTGTAATAAATGGCTAACAATGGTGGCATTTAGCTGCGACAAAACCTTAAGTTGCTTCTTGCTGATGGAGTCAGCTTCTTGCTGATGGAGTCTCGACGGATAAATTCCGAGTGCTTCTATAGCTCAGCTCTTCAGCAGAGATCTGGCAGGCCCTTCGTATCTAAGGGTCTATGCCATTCAAATGACGCGGCCACATGTCTGTTTTGAACTTTCCTCGAACAAATGTGAACATGTAAGTAACAATGCTCGTATATACGAAGAGGACTCGCCAGAAAATAGCAAGCTTTGTTATTGAGTAATCAAAGTAATCGATCTGTTGGAAAAAAAAATACCCTTCGAAGGCACGTTTAGCTTTTGGCACTGTACACCTTCAGATTTTTTTTTTTTTTTTTTTTTTTGCCCCCACAGCACTGCCAACTAAAAACACTTTGTGATTCAGACACTTCCAATGCAACTCTACCAGCCGACCTCGCCCTGCCTAAGGGACAAAGAATTTGCTCAGTGCAGCTTCCCGCGCTCCGCTCCCACCATGGCCAGACTTACAATCCCCTTCCACTGATTTTTTTTCTAAAGTTTTTTTTTTTTTTTCTTGAACATATTCCTATTCTCAGAGTCCATCTGTTAAGTCTTTTAATCGGTGGCGTATCTGGGATCCCATGCTATGCAAAATTCCATAAAGAAACCGTCTTCATCCACTGCAAAATGAAGTGATCTCTACCTCTTCTTAGCAAAAGAAGGCTGTCTGCATGAGACCCCAGTCCCT